AACTAGTTTATGTACAAATTTAACTCTCCAAAGTAAGCCACAAATTTCTGTTGATTTCCAGACCAAATATGTGTGCTTTTGGCTGTTAAAGTCTCGATTCTGCCCCCTCATTAAATGACTGATGGAAATTCAATCGATATCCGTCAGCAGGGCGCTCTAATAATGTGTTCAACATGTCAGCCAAGTACTTGTGTCCCTGCCCCATCGCAGGAATTCCAATTCCGGGAGTTTGGGGACTTCTAGTATCCAAACACACTGGTCAAGGGGATCTCCCCCTGGACTGCCACTTATGAAATTGAATGTAAACAAAATGAGCGACTCCTCGACTGCAAAGCTCAGTCGTCGTCGGGTGACAACAATATCCCCCGGCAATCGACAACTGGCATTGCCCAATCCAACCCAATAGCAACCCTACCCTTCTTGTTGACTGACATATCGGCGCCAAGCAGGCAATTAACATGCGATTGTCATAAATTTACTCAATGCACAGATTATTAAACATTCATAAAATAAATTACCCAGCCAAAGTGCATAAATTCTGAATTGATTTTAACGCATTGTCCGAGACAAAGAGCAGAAGAGTCCCCTTCTTCTTTCGAAGGAGGCGAAGGAATCTGGTTATTGAATTATAACGATGTCGGGCAGAATGGCCAAGGGAAAAACATAAACATAAATTCCTTCAAAGTCTTCGAGCGAAACAACAATTGCATAGAAATCAATTTCAGAGAAGAAGCGTTCAAGGGTTAAATTCCAGAGGGGGAGGATATAAATTTTGTGAGTGCAGCGAGGGGGCGACTGAGAGACCCCACAAATCAGGGTTGTGGGGGAAAAACTGAAAGGGGGGGCCTTCAATTTAATGGCATTTGTGGCTTGTCGCTGGGGTTGAAACAAAGACTTTTCTATAGTTTCCCTCGGATGCGAAGGGAAAATGGAAAAGCGACCATCGACTTGAGCACTGGCTGTTAGAAATCGGATAGTTATGAAGACTTGCACATAAAATGCTGAGCAGCCATCAGTAAAAGGGGTTGTGTTGAGCGCCTCGAAGCTCTGTTGGAATCCAAAAGTCTTTAATAGTTTGTGTTCCATGCGATAACATCAAATTTATTGGCTTTCTGATTGGAAATCTTTTGGTTTTGATAAAAGATTTAAAAGTATATTGCAATGGAGTTTTGGCATTTAACAAAACATTTTATAAGATATTGAAAAAATATTTTTTTATTATGTGTAAAATTCTCTAACAAACAAATTTACAAGTAATATTTAGATAATTTCATAAGTTGATCAAGAATTGGTAAAACTTAAAAAAATCTTAAAAATCATTTTGATTTTTTTTTCTTCAAAAATTGCGATTTTGTCCCCCTGACTTTAAGCTGAATGGCAGATAGCCTCCCAATTGTTAAAGCTTTCGCTGAGCTCCGATGTGATTGCATTTCGGCTAACTGCATTATACGTCGCCTTTGCCAACTCTAAACAGATAATTTGGGCCAGAATATCATTAGGAATTCCCTTTTCTCGCCCGAAATCGGAGACAGGGAGCTATATCTTCGGGCTTAATTCAACTGCATCTCACACAAGGAGAAGCCCCCCAAAAAAAAAGAGGGAAGAGAACACTCTGATGTGAAGTGAAATGAAATTACGAAGACCCAGCTGAATGTCAATGTCCTCCCACAAAATCCCTTCCCATCTGCTCCTTGTGCGATGCCAAAAACAAAGAGCGAGCGGAATGTATATACAGCAGAACGTACAAATATATATATTTTTTATGACATTTCTGACAATTTATGATGCAAATTCCTCACCCAAAACTGAAGAATGAAGCGATGGCACGAGAAGAAGCCTCCGACAAATTGTCGAGAAATTGCATAAAACTATAAAAAGGGCAAAAAACAAAAAAACATGAGAGAAAAAACAAATTGTTATGCTGAAATCTGTAATCTGAAGTAGTTGCGGATGCACTCGAGAGATATTTATGGAGGGAGTGAGAGGGGAACAACATAAAAAAGAGACAGCCACATTTGGGCAAAGGGCAAAAGCTGTGTGCAAAAATTGTTTTATTTCTGCTTTTATTATTTTGTTTTATATTTCGTGATGGCTTTTTATTTTCTGTTGATTCATCAGAAAATAAATTGAAATATTCTTGTTGACAAAACCGTATTCGGACAGAAAACTTTTTGCTGTTTGCCATTGGATGATTTATTTAATTTACTAAAACTAACACAACATAGAAAATATTTGATAATAAAATCACGTTCACACGCTTACGGCCACAAATCAATTGGTGCCACCGAAAACGAACCCATCAATGGAATCGGCCCAAACCCAAAGTTCATTATAAAATTATTTGTCTTCTTTTTTTTTTGGGGTCCCCAATTCGTGGAAAGAGTTTTGACCGCAAGTGAGGACTTCTCATCACCCACACGATTTTGCCTTTGGCCTTTAATATGTATAAATAACAATCTATCCCACAAACTCTACCAAAACAAATTCTTTCAACTTGTGCGGTCCCCTTTTTCTGGTTAATATGACTGTGTTTTATTGGAAAGTCACACAAACAAGCAGGCAAAAATGAATGAAAGCAAACTATTGGAAGCAATATCTATGGACATTTAAAAATAAATATTGCTGTTTAAACACCAAAACAGTCACGATAGCTCACCACAACAGAATGATGGGAAAGTTTAAAAGAGCTTAATTAACGAAACAAAAATATGACCTTGTTTTTCGGGGAAAATCGAAATGGAAACTGATGACGAATGTGAAAGAGAAGGCAGAATAAGCCCGACTAAAATGATTGCATTTTCTATACATTTATTGGGTAATAATAATATAATTCGGAAAACAAAGTTATCTAATTTATGTGCAAGCGGAACATTTAGTGGATTAAACTACCACCTCGAGCACCAGTTAAATTATGATTTTTAAAATTAAACGGTACAATTTGAACCTAAGCTTTGTGTACCTCCTAAAAATCCAATAAATCACATAGATTGCACTTAAATTTATTCTATATTTCTTATCTTCTCAATATCAAAATACCCCTTAGTTTACTGAAACTTCGTTCCCACACAACCAAAAAAACTTCAATTTCGATCAGAACTCCTAACTGATTTCCATTTCGTGCATGTGGCCAAAACTCAAACGTGGCACAATATGTTATGAATTTTTATTGAGTTGTTTGTGCGCTAAAGAAAAAATTAATTTATCGCCTTCGCCCGTTCGTTATTGTTCAAATAAAAGGCCAAAATCGAAAGCGACGATCGGAAAAAACGGAGGGAATTTCGGGGCAGCGTCATCATCATCATCTGGACACCGCCATCGATGGACATCAAATGTGTGGATTGGGGATATGTCAGAAAGTCGGAGGCGGGGAGACGTTGCCTGAATTTAAATGGACAAATTAATTGCGTTTGTCAGGCCTGTGGACAGGTTCTGGCCATTGGGACAACGGCGGCAGCAACAACAACAAGGCAAACCCAAAGGCCCGAACAAAGAATTAATTGGTTTTTGGACACTGGATGAAATATATTTAATTTAGGCTTAATGCCGGACAGAGATTGCATTTTAGTATGCACCCCCATTCCGCTCTCTTCATCTCTCATCTCCTTACAAGTGTCAAATTGGCATTGAATCATGACTGGGACTGTATCTCATTATCTGTGCGCGATCGTTTGGCCATCAAATAGCCATTAAACGGTAGACCATTATCCTGGTTGATGGGGGAAGAATGCCAGAACCCCTGCATAAAGGATCTCGGATCACAGACCGCAGGCGATCGTGTGGCTCAGTCGCTGATCGAGGATAGGAACATAAATTATCACTTGGTTTTGGGTACGACAAAGTGACTTGTAGGGGACTCGATCGGGAAGAGTGGTGTATTAAACACTGAGAAAAAACTGGTTACTTTGTCATAGAAGCATAATATAAATCAGCTTTGTTTAAAATTCAAATTAAATTAATTTTAATATACCAGAAATTCAAAATCCCTAAAATTTTATTTGTTAATTTTAGCATAGTCTAACAACTTTTTGCTCTGGTCATTTTTAATTTTAAATAATATAGAATGAAGATATTTTTCCACGAATAAAAGGCTTTTCTCCCCTAGGTTTGAAATCCCTCCTTTGTCCGATCTGAGTTGACAGTTTTATTGTGTCGCCTTTTTTGAATTAATTGAGCCGCCCCTCGGTTCCAAATGAAGTCGTTGTCGCTGTCGTGTTTCCAAGGAATGTCGGATGAGGATGAGATCCCTGGGACCTCCTCCTCCTCCTCCTTCCATCCCCGGAGATGGAACCCCCTGAGGGCAGATGAGCTGTGGGGACCACACATTGCGATGGAGACACACGCAGCTCTTTTGACGAACCCAAAAAAGCATTCCCTAACAAATTGCCTCCGCTCTTCTCTATTTATTCGGCCTGCGGGCGAGCCGTTGCCAATTAATTATAATTGATTGGCGATATTAACGAAAATTATGATGATTATGATTATTCGCTGGAAATGCACCCGCAGATACGTAGATACGTTTTTCTGTCGAAAGATATAACAAAATCATAATAAAAGCTGAATACTATTCGGATGTATGATATACGACTTAATTGTGGCTTTCAGCGAGCCATTGGCATTTAAATTAATAAATTTTTGATATATCTGCGGGGTTGTAAATTATATTTTAATCGGTTTAAATGGCGCTTTAAGGTTTACAAAACTGGGGAAATAAATAATCACTCGATTGGTATTTAAAATAGTAACTTAAAAATAGTAAAAGTGGAAATAATTTTTTATAAATTTGAAAAAATATAATAATAATACCGACAAAAATTTAAATGTTTTTGGTTGGAATAAAATGTTACTTTAATTTAAAGCCCTTTTAAATTACAATATTTGGTGTTGTTTAATGACTTTACTTACTATTTTTAAGTACGGTCACATCGCTTTATATCGATTCTACAAGTTGTCAACCGAAACTAATTTTAGGAGCTGTCAGAAAAATTTATCAGAATTTTGTGGGCTCTCCATATTTACTTGTAAGGGCTTTGTGGATATTTTTTGCAAAAGAATGGGACGCCGTCGGCCGTGTAAGGATCGTTCCCGGACTAACCGTACCCGTTCGCGTTCCAGGACCCGCTCGCCCCGACCCACCCGTTCCGATACGATCTTCACCGACAGGCCGCGACTGCAACGGCGACCGGGTCATGCGGCCTCGTCATGGGACATTCCGCCCACCGGATACGCCCACCTGACCCCCCTGCAGTACAAGGCCATGCAGGCCAGCGGACAGATTGCCTCCCGCATCGTTCTGGATGCCATGCCCACGGGGGAGTCGGCGGCCATTGCGATGGTCACTCGGCAGGCTCGTCGCCTCTATGTGGGAAATATCCCGTTCGGCGTGACGGAGGAGGATATGATCGAGTTCTTCAACCAGCAGATCGTGGCCATCGGCGTAGAAACCGCACAGCATTCGGATGGCCGGGCGGTGCTGACCTGTCAAACGAATCTGGAGAAGAACTTTGCCTTCCTGGAATTCCGATCCATGGACGAGGCCACGCAGGCCCTCAATTTCGATGGGATTAACTTTCGCGGCCAGACCTTGAAGATCCGCAGACCCCACGACTATCAGCCGGTGGCCTCGTTTGGTCCGCCCGAACCGGAAGTTTCGTCCTCCTTCAAGATCCCCACGATTACAGTGAATACGCCATCGATTTATGCTGTCACCACTGGACAGGTTATATCCGCTCAGGTTCCCGATTCTCCGAATAAAATCTACGTGGGTGGCCTGCCCACCTGCCTGAATGAAATGCAGATCAAGGAGCTGCTGCTTTCGTTTGGCGAGCTAAAGGGATTCAATCTGGTGAAGGAGAGCAGCACGAGCCTGAGCAAGGGATTCGCCTTCTTCGAGTACGTGGATCCCACGGTGACTGAAACGGCCATTGCTGGTCTAAATGGCATGCAGTTGGGCGATCGCCGCTTGGTCGTCCAGCGATCCATTCCCGGCGGCAAGAACGGGATGTTCGGCGGAGTGCCCGTGGTTCAGGTGCCGGGAATATCTACCCTCTTGGCCACCGGCTCGCCCTCGGAGGTCCTGTGCCTGTTTAATATGGTTCTGCCCGAGGAATTGCTCGACGAGGAGGAGTTTCAGGACATTCGTACGGACATCAAGCAGGAGTGCACCAAGTACGGCGAGGTGCGCAGCATCAAGATCCCCCGACCCATCGGCCAGGCTACCCAGCGGGGCTGCGGCAAGGTCTTCGTCCAGTTCGAGACCGTCGAGGATTGCCAGAAGGCCCTGAAGGCCCTCAGTGGCCGCAAGTTCAGCGGTCGCATCGTGATGACCTCGTTCTACGATTCTAAAAAATACCTGGAGAATGATCTTCAATAAACGATTGAATAATAACTACGGCATATAGAAGATCAAACAGCTGTCTTTAAAATTAGTTTTAAGTGTTCAGTAAATTTAAAACTGATTTGAACTAGTTTACTGTGCATTATCGTTAAAGAATAGATTTTTCTTTAATGGAGCTCTGCCGCCACACACACAGTATAAAATATTTTTTTAAAATTTTTTATTACAATAATATGAGGTAATATAATTAGCTTGGAAATGTTTTCTTCCACTCTGCAAATTTAAAGTAATATGTTTTATACTAAATCTATATTTACACACGCTTTACTATTTAATCTCATATTGAAATCCTCTCTGCTTCGTATTGATACACACTAAAAAATGAACTGGTTGATGTAATTAATCTGGGACCTTCCATCTTGTCAACTGTTGAATCGGCTAACTGATGGGCCCAAGGCCGAGCCTGCGATAACGAACTTAATCCGCTGCGAAAGAACCGGCTTCCAGTTCTTGGCTCTCGTTATTGTTTTCCGTTGTTGTGATATCATCTGCTTAATGCCAAAGAAATCGCTTTAAGTTATCTGGGGATGGGATGCCAGGACACGCCTCCTCGCCCCGAAAAAAAGGGGGGCTGCCCGGGATTCAATTAGGCAGACCGACTTAAGCTGCAATCCTTAAAGCTGCTCAAGGGCTGACACCTCCTTCTGGAGGACCTCCTCTCTTTTTTTCAGCTTCCCCCGGCCGGCGAAGCTCTTGCTTAATTAAAATTTTAAACTTTACGCTTTATCGCCGGCATTTCTCGGGCATATTCACACCTACCTTCTGCTTATTACGAAGCAGGCCCAGGTAATTCGTTAATGCCCTCTCAATGGAGAAGCTTCTTTCGCTGCTTCGGCTGCTTATCTCGCCGAACGGTTGCATTTTCTCAGGTTTCACATTTCGAGACTTTCGGGGCATCCGCCTTGGGGTCTTTTCTTATCTCAGACTTTGGTCATTTGGTCGACAGCCGATCATCAATACTGGTACGCGTAATGAAATGGTTAATACACGGAAAGAAATTCTTTAAAAGCTAAAAGTTTAATATCTAGAGATTATTAAAAATATTTATAAAATAAAATTATAAAATTGGAAGAAGTAAAAAATCAAACAGCTAGAATTACAATGTTCAATTATGCTTTGTGGAATAAATATTTTATATATTGATCATAAAAAATCTTTAATTAAATCTTTAAAATCATAATGTTTAAATAAATTGTACTTTTGAAAAATATATCAAAGATATACCAATTTTTTCCCAGTGCAGCTTTAAGAGCGTTGAAAGCCCAACTCCAGACTGAACGATTTATCAGTGGCAACGACGACCACAACTAAACGCTTTATCGAAACGCTGGAGATTGTGGCAGGAAGGAGAGGAAAAGACTGAGAACTTGAGTGGATTGTGGACACAAATTAATTCAACGCCTTGGACTTTTGTCATTCACCGGAGGAGACGATCTGAAGGCGAACCTTTCATTCCCCGTGCTCCCAAAAAAAAAACAAGAAGAGGAAGACAGCTAAAAACTTCTTTCGAAGCCGCTGCTGTCCCATGAAAATCAATGCCTCGATGGGTAATTAATAAACGCCCATAAAGATGCGGATACAATAAAAATTCCAGACGCATGGGAGGCGCAGAGGAGGAATCGAACTCAAAAGGGTTTCTTTGATTTTGTAGTTTTTTCCTTCGTTGATTTTTATGATCTGGCAGCTGCGCTTTGGGGATTAACTGGATTGACTTCTAATCTCTCCAGCTCCCCGAAACCGAATCCCCGAGTCTTGTCCAGCAACTTCTTTTCCCCCTTCGATTGTGACCGAGGTTAGGATCGTCTTGATGTTAGGTAATCGAAATGAAGCAATCAAAGCCACAGTTGAGTGAACCCTCCCGAAGGTTTCTATGCATTTTTAATTGCATTCTCATCATTTCATTTGAATATGATGTAGTAGATAATTACTGGGCTCCTGCCAGAGCAACGCCCTCCGCTTAAAACGATTGTTAAATGACTCTCTTACTTGATTTTTCCATTTGGTAGCTGGAAAAGTATCAGAATCAGAAGCTTGTTTTTTTTCCTCACTTATCGCATCCATCACGTGATTTGTGTATCTCCCCCGAGATATCCAACTTAATTAGTTGGATCTGCAGGACGTTGTGTTGCCACTAATGATAGTTTAGATGGCCGAGCATCGTATAAATTTGCCAAAGATCCAGAAAAGATACTCCAATCGAGAAGGCACCATAAAAATTTGTTCATCTAATGATCGCGATAGGCATCTCGCATGTGTTCAATTTGTACAGATTTAATTAAGATACAGGGAAATATTCAGAGACAACAGCTGGTTTAATGAACTAGACTGCCAGTCGCTGAAAGGTCAAAAGTTTATCTCTGAAATATTTAAAAATCAAGCAATCAGAGCTGAAAACTTTTTTTCGGCTCTCAAAGGGAGAAGTTTTATACCCTTTAGAACAGAAGCCCGAATTCAATTAACCAGAACCTGTTGCTTTGTTTGGTTTACCCGCAATTCAATTCACATTTCCGGAGCCCAAAAAAAAAAACTGGAAAATAGGAAGGGAAAAAATTAAAGGAATGAAGAGGCGAACAAAACATGCGAAATAAAATCAAATAAACAAATATTGTTGTGCAGTTCAAGCGAATTTGTAATTTCCCCTTCATAGTCAACAACAAAGGCTAAAAACAAATTACCAGCGAGAATAATTTCACCGAATTTTCAACTTGGGGTTGTAACTGGAAGAGAGAGGGCGAGTGTGAAGGGATTTTGGGTGGTATTCCCCACCCATTTTCGGGCTGTCATTGCCATTCCCGTTCCAATGTTCCACGTCGCTTCGTTAATGGCAGCGCAATTAATTCGAGCAAATCGTCTGTGAACCCTTTTTATGACCTCTAAGAGCCCCGGTTCACACTGCTCTGCCCCCTCATTCGCAGATAAAAATTCATTAAACGACATCATTGAAGAGCTTTGTTTCGCTTTGAACTGTTTGCCGGGCGATAATAAATGCGGAATAGGAACGCAAATGCCGAAAAAAAGTGTTTGGGTTTTATTTGCGTAAACTGTTGAATGAGCTACAATACGAGATGAACTTGGTTTGGAGAAGGAAGGAAGGATCTAAATTTGGAAGGCTTTTCGGTTAAGCTAATTCTTAGAATTTTAAGCGTTAGGTAAATATAAATAGAAAATTTTCTGCTGTATTTTCTGATTAACGATTCTAATTTAAGTTATTAAAAGTTAATAATAATAAAAAATTATTCAAATACCATTGTTATAAATTCTTCTAAATATGTTCCTAAGAATAAAACAAATTGCTTTTTAAAATTCCGCATAATAAGTAAACCATTCCCCTGAGTTACCTGCCCTTCAGGGACATAAATCTCGCTACCTCCTCCCAAAAGATACTCATATTGAACTAGTTCCCCTAACACCATTAAACTAACCCATTAGCTGGCTATTCAACTCGCCTGAGCACATTGTTACACGATAATACCGCTGATCTATTACGCGGCTCAAGCACCATTTGTCTTTCTAAACTCTTACACAATTCGAACAGAACCAAACCGAGTTAGGTCCCGAATACGAATCAGAATCCGAGTATCCGAGTCCAGAATGCGAGTTCGAAGAACCCATTTGTGGACACCCTACGGCGCCGAGGGAAAAACAAAAGGAAAAGCGGTGGGCATCTGAATGGGTTTTTCCAGCAGCTCGGCGAGGGAGGGACCAACGCGAAATAACCTGCGAGTCGAGCGCATTTAATGAGGGTCATAAAATCAAGCGCCAGGCCTCAACCGCCAGACAGCAGGAGGAAAAAAAGGGAGAGAGGCTCAGACATACAGATAAACCGAAACTAAACTAAAGTAAACCCGAGAAGGTGTAACAGGTGATACTGCAATGAAATTATAATGCAGATTATCCCGAGGAAGGTGGCAATAGGTAGCCGTGGCCCGAAAGGACATCTAAGTGGCCCAAAGCTGACGATTTGAGGAGGGACCCATTTCGTACCATTTAACCATTTACTTTTATTTCGAGTATTTGCTTTGATATTTTGCCGCAAACCTTTTAAATCGTTTGTTTGGGAATTACACAAAGAGGTTTTCTTTGTGGCTCTTCCCTTCTCTTCTCCTATGCAAATGCGTGTCAACTTTGACCCCAAGTTAAGCCGAAACACATAATCCAAGGAAAGAATGGAAAAAAGACGAGACCAGATGCGAAACAACAATAAGAGAACAGGCAGCGAAACAATGGGAAATCCGAATTTAAGCTCCTCGAAATGCTCGACTTTTTCGACTGGCCGCCACTTCACTCGGCCCGGCATAATCCAAACTAAATGTCCGACTTAATTTTGTTGTTCAACTGTCCTGCTTTTGGCCCGCTTCTGGCTGCACTGCGAGAAATATTTTAGGTACAAATGGAATAAACAGATGGGATTCATGGGTTTAATTTCTATGTAAAATTAAATCATTAAATCAATTAAATTCTTAATATTATTTTTATTTGATTTAAGAATGTGTTTTATTCATTTTTAAATAAAATAAACAATTGATTTTATTTTTTACCACATTTTATAATTTTTTTTCCTCATTTCTGCCTGAAAGCCCACTAAAAGGATATTGTGTTATGATAGTTTTTATTATTTTTACACTTGATCGATTTATCACAACACTGACTTCCAATAAACCACATATGTATCGAGAAAAAACATATATTTTTGCCTTAAGTATCCCGTTCCGTTCTTATACCCATACACATGTACCTCTGTCATTTCCTCGATGACCGACAACTTGTGAAACGTGCTGATAGTAGAGTGTATTTATAAATGTCAGTGCAGATTACATACCTTCCTGGCAGAGCCTTAACCTAATGGTTCACTGACCTCTGGCCGGGTCTATTCAGGGGTTCCTTTAAGGTTGGGTTTTTATACCCGTTACTCGTAGAGTAAAAGGGTATATTAGATTCGTGCAAAAGTATGTAACAGGTAGAAGGAAGCGTTTCCGACCCTATAAACTAAATATATTCTTGATCAGGATCACTAGCCGAGTCGATCTAGCCATGTCCGTCTGTCCGTCTGTCTGTCCGTCTGTCTGTCTGTCTGTCTGTCTGTCTGTCTGTCTGTATGAACGCTGAGATCTCGGAAACTATAAAAGCTAGAAGATTGACATTTTGCATGCAGATTCTAGGAGTACCTACGCAGCGCAAGTTTGTTTCAAAAGGGTGCCACGCCCCCTCTAACGCCCACAATCGCTTATATACGATTTTAAAAATTTCAATATTTTGGAAAAGTAAAAATGCAGTTTTGTTGTGTTTATCAATACCTATCGAAATGTAGAAGAAATTTTTTAAATCGGACCATTCTTTAAAAAGTTACGGCGGATCAAAGCTTTTATCTCCATCTCCTTCGCATTCCCTTTAGCTGAGTAACGGGTATCTGATAGTCGGGGCACCCGACTATAGCGTTCTCTCTTGTTTTCTCTTTATTTATTTAATTTTTTTTGCCGTGTAATGCTGTGAACTTCGAGCTCCGCCCACTGATGAATGCTCGCTGCTCCGGGAGTCATCTTCATTCTGCTGGCGAGCATTTGTCCTGCCGTTTGTTTGGATGCTGCTGCAGTGCCACTCCCCCTAAACGCCCCTCGCCGCCCCTTTCCGCCTGTCAGCATCCACACAATTCAACTTCAACTTTTGATACTCATCTGAATTTGCATTATTTTCTTTTGCTGCTGTTTACGTTGATTCTGATTTTAATCTTTCAACTGCGCTCCGCTTTTCTCGTTGCCTCGCTTTATTTAGTTTGGAATCTTTTTTCCCTGTCCGATTTGCCAGTGATATGTACCTGCTGCTGCTGCCGTCGTCGTCGTCCAGGTGAACAGGTTTCCTTTCTTTTGTCTGTCGCGCTCGGCAGGTTCCAACGCACTCTCCACTCGCCTTTTTCCCATTTTCCCCCGGCAGTCCTCACCATTCATTCCATTCGAGTAAGGGCAGGAAAAAAGTATCCTAATTGGTATTAAAATTGACGTTATTTTTTTCTCTTTGCCATTGTATTTGGATGCCTTAATAGCTAGAATGGTGCCGCATTTGTCTTCTGGATCCTTCTCCCTGCGCACTTTATTCAAATTGCATTAAGGCGACGGGGAAATCGAGAGTCGTAACCCGACCAAAGTTGGACGACTTTGGGCAAAACGCATTTTTCAGATTGCATCGCTTGCCGATGGCCGAGATTAAAATCGAAATATAAACAGGCTTCTGTGGCTCCTCCGATTACGTCGCCCCTCAGAACAGTCCGATATTTAAACCCTGCACTCGGTTTCATTTTTTCCGTACTTTTGTTTCGTTTTTATCATTTAATTTTTTTGTTACCTGAATTTTATCTTTTGTTTGGCGCTCGGGTTTAATGCCGCGAGCATTTTGTCGGGGAGTTATGGGAAAAATGAAAAAAAAAATTCTCTGCAGGATTAAATTTAAATGTGGCCACTTACACGTAATTAAGTTCGCTGCACTTTGTTTAAATATATATTAAGCCGTTTTTATTTTGCCAGCAGCGATATGCAAAAATAATTAAGCCGGCAGTAAAATTTTAGTAAAGCTTAAATTGAGATGCAACGGAATTTGCAGCAAAAGATTGCAGGGCAGTCAAATAAAATATTTTAAAGTCTTTAAAGTGGCATGAATTCGGCATATCAGAATGGTATAGGTCAGTTCCAATAAGGTAAATTAAGGTTAACAGTACAGCACTCCGAAAACCGTTGAATTGGTTCCACTTCCCCTTTTACAGGCTGCTTATAATTTCGTGTGGACAGCATTACTCCGAAAGATAATGTTCCAACTTATGTTAAGAGTTAACAGGCTGAAAACCATTTAAAATACAATTGTGTTCTGACTAAAACATAAAATAATTGCATAGCTATTCTTTAATTGTTGTGGATTAAAAAAATAAATTTAAATGTTATTATTCTTGTTATTTATTTTTATGTTTTTTCCTGTTCTTCTTGGATTTCTAATCATATATTAACAACTTCTAAACGGTCTAATAGATTCCACTGAAGTATTTCTAAGAACTTATGTTATTCTCTCCGAGATTCTATGTGGATTCTGTGAGCGAGCTGTTGATTCTGACGGGTTTTGTTTGTGGATGTCATCTGAAATGTGTGTCATTGTAAAAGTGGCCACCAGTGACTTTTATGCCAAACCAATTTAAATATAACCGCAGTAAGATCACATCAGTTCAATCGGAATAAATGATAAATTATGAATAAATATTTCTTAAAAAGTGTTATACTACCATTTATTGTTTTAATTATAAAAAACATTAGCTTAAAAATCCTGGACAAATAAAAAAAATGTCAAAAATCCAATAACATCTTATTATATTTTCCTTTGTATAATAAATCAATTACTTTTTTAAAAATTTAAATAAATATATTAAAATTATGCTAGTGTTTGCAGTAAATTTTGTCTAGCAAGATCAAGAACTTCCTGGCAAACAGACAATCCTCTTGTGGCCATTAAATTAAATGTTAACATAGCTTCCACATTTCGTGGAATGCTACTCTCTCGCATTTTTTCTCCGATGGAGGCGGCGCCTGCGCACTGTGCGTTCTCTACGCAGGTTTAACATAGCGTCCACAGGAGACACATGCGATCCACTGGCGATGCAGTCGCCGACTCGATTCATAAATTGCGTTTAGTATTGCCGAGAGATTCAAGCGTTGTGGTACTCGAAATCGTGAGGCGCGCGTGCTGTTGCGTTTGAATTGAGTTCGATCAAAGATTCATTGTGTCGCGTGCACATTGTCGATTTTTGTGTTCAAAAGTGCTAAAATCGAGTTAAGAAATCGGCTAAAGCTAAGCCCAAAAAGTGACCAATGCCCTGCCAAATTCACTGCCTCTAAATAGTGAAAGATCCTTTGAGTTGCTCGTTCGTCGTCGCCTGTCGGTTGTCGTCAGTTCGTCGCGAGTTGTTGCAACTTCGTGAGAAAAACACTAGAGCCTTAAAGCCTGGCAAAAATCAGCCAAAAATCAAGTAATTCAAGCTCTATAAGACAGCGATAATTTATCTATCAATTCTAAAATAATAATAATCCAAAAAAAATCGTGTTGCCGCTGTGCTCGTGAGATGTTGCTGCTGCAACAGCCGCAGAATCGTGTGGCCCAGTGTCAGTGATTGAGAAATACATGCGACTGAACGTAACTCAGGATGATGCCAAGCGGATTACACACAAGGATTAAATAACAAAGTAATTTGCATATCTGGAAAATAAATTGAAATCATGACAGCGAACTAGGCACAAATTTATGCACGAATATTAGCCGGAGTTCCCTGCTCGCTGGATCCTTGGAGCGAACGGATGTCCGTTCATGTCCATGTTGCGAGTCAATGAAACTTTTAATTGTGCACGCGTGTCCCCCCCTCGGAGGCCCAACCCCCTTTCCACCCCACACCTGTTCAATCGGGGAGCCTTCGTGCCCGTGGGCCCCGCCCCCTTTGGGTTTATGTTCATGTTTCCCGCATATTTGTCATGGACATCGCCTGGATGAATGCATGACTGGGTGAATAATCTCCTGGGGAACGTGGAGGGGAGGGGTGGGGAGTCCCCCGGGAACAGGAATAAAAGTGCAACCATCAAGCCATACAGACTTTTAAAACTTGTGCAAGGAATATGCTGTGTGGGATATGAAATTGTTTTGGCACAGAAGAGGAGATGTTGAACTTTCAATAAAGTTTTGGGAAAGCCGCCCACATATTGAAGGAAATTTAAAGTGTGCCTTTTAGAACTTTAAAGGATATTCTTCTATTTTGGAGAAAACTTTTAATGAAGAATTCTTGGCAAATAACTTTTTTATGAAACCATAAGGGACAGTTTCTTTACCAAATCTATATTACAATCTTGGGAATAATAATAAAAATAATTTAGTTTAACTACATTTTTACCACCTTTTTCTTTCAATCGTATTCAATTATCTTTGAACTCAAATCCTTTTTAAATTAAAGCGCCCCACAACTCCTGATATTTCTGCTCGCTTGCCTCGCTAACTTTATTAACCAGTAAGTGGAACTTCCTCTTGTTCCGCCCTTAAGCTCTCCGCCAAATCTCAACTTATTTTCAATTATCATGTCATCTGGTGGCAAGCCACTCTCCGTTCAGCTTTTCATCCCCTTTCCTTTTGGCCACCAGCTGCACTTGAACTCCATGTTGGTAATTCGGAAAATCCCCCTCGCCAAAAAAAGGGACCAGGAGAAAATTTACTATCGCCACCAACGCCAATTGAAGCACTTGTCCACGCTCCCTGACCTCAAGCCACCCCCTCCCCCGGCTTTACTACGCCCGCCCGTCCTCCGCTTTTCCCCCCAACTCCCACCCGCTTTCCTCGCCCTCTTCTTCCTTCTCCTCGTTATGTTTTTTGCGGTCAGTTGAGGCCGCGTGCCGAGCTTCCATTGTATGTGTGTTTTTCGTGTTTAATTTTTTTTCCTGTGCACCCAGTACTTGCAGATATTGGGGTATGTTGTATGGGTAAATGGTTGGGAAAGGAAGAGTTTTAGAATTTATCTCGGGACCTATTTGAGGCAGAACTTAAATATTTGGGATGTGAATTGTTTAGTAAAAGAAAGAAGAACTCAACAATTTTTAAATGAAATTTTACCCGGTATCTGATAGTCCTGAAACGGTACTTGCATTTGTTTTTTATTTTTCGAAAGGACATGGTTCTGGGTGTGAGTCAAAGAACAGTAGCAAAAAACAGCAGAAAAGGAGGAGAAAGTGGAGGTGAAGGAGCAAAGGACACCGCCAAGTTGACCTCGTGTCGCCTGCAGCGTTAATTTATAATTTACTCTCGGCTCACTGAAATCGCCTAGCACCCCGAGACCCCCCTGAAACCTCCCCCTGAAAACCTCCTTGAGAGCTCCCGCTTTTATTATTATTATTTCTGTGCGTTTCCACGCGCTTTTCCCTGGCCAACCTCAGAAAAAGGAAAAAGGTCCTTTGCCCCCATCATCATCTACCAACGTTTTTGCCACTTTTGACTTTTTTACATTTGCCGACGGGCCTGAATGTTGTTTTTTTTTGTGCCCGTTGTTGTTCCTGTTATTGTTGCCTTTGCTGTGTTTTCCTGTTCGTGTTGTTGTTGCGGTGTCCCTTGAATTTACTGGCAAACAAGGCAGGAATATCCAAAAACCTGCTACCGAAATTCAGACCCCCTCATTCTTGTTTTTTTCTCGCCTTTTCAACTACTCATTGTTGTTGCTTGCTTCTGTTTTTAGTGCCTTAATTTCGCTGTTTGTCTGTATGCTTTTTGGGTTTTTTTTCAAGGGGAGATGCTCTCTCCTGTTTTTAAATATTTTTGACTTTTGGCCCCGCGACTGTTGCTCGTCTTACTTTCTCCTTCCAGCACTTCCAGACTTTTTCGCTCGTTTGTTTGTTGTTTTAATTAATTTGTAAATTTACTCGACCAGATTAAAGCAAAAGAGAAGCAAATTAGCCAGAGACTTCGCCAACAAAAATGCAGATGGACGACAGATGTCATTTGGAGAAAGAGGGGGAGAAATTCCTGGGTTAGGAATGGGTAAACCAAAGTGGGGCATGAAGTATTCAACAAATTTTCTTGCTAATATATAAATAGCCAGAAACACTTAGCAATTGGACCGGATTAGTTTTAAGAGCTTAAATAATTCAATAATCTGAAACGAGCAAAAAGCTTTGAGAATAAACACAATAAACGTGAAGACAAAGAAATCTCGTAATTAATAAAATTGAGTTCATAAAACAAATGCAAATGAACCAGAAAACCATAAATAGAATTTCCAACAAAAATGGAATTCATGAAAAATAACATTTTAAATCTTAAACAATAAATATGCAAAACAATGCGAAAAGTGATATTTTTTTTGGTTTTATTCAGAATTATTTCAGATAGAATCACGATTTCCAGCATAAATATTTACTATTGTTCAAATAAATGAATGCCATTATTTGATTTTCTTAAACATTCCTGTAAAATGATGCAAATAAAATGTGCATTTTCTTGAAATCACAATTAGTGTTAAACAAATCTGAATTACTCTGTGGCTGAGTCAACAAATTGGCAACCTGAACGACAGACTCTCGAGTTGCCTAGACAAACAGTGTCCCAGATTTTATATTTATATTTACGTTCATGTTACGAAGCGTCTATCAAATTTCCCTGTCAATCTGGGTTTTCGTACCAGGAAGATCCCATCTCCCCCCAGAACTCCGGGCTTCATCTTTCGTCAAGCTGCCAGCTCGAAGTTTGCCAATAATAATAATTCAATTTCCTGCCGACGAAGTCGAGTCACTCAAGAAAAACACTTCTGCGGAAAACTCAGTGGGCAACACATTCGCCCGACGGCCATTTAATTGCTCCTACAAAGCCTGAACAAAGGCTGGATAAAATTATATGCAGCACAAAACAAATATATACAAGTGGAATTATTTTTGCAGCTGTTTTTTGCTGGGGCCTTTGTTTAAAGTATTTAACTTTGGTTTAACCGCAATGGCAAAACTTTGTCTTGGTCTTTCTCCCGAGGTATTGACACATTGGTGAGGATTTGTGCTTCACTGCGACGGCAACATGAAGTCGGCCAATAAAATTCCTTGCGGTGTCTGAGCCAAAAACGAATTTCAAATTAAATAAACAAAAAAAAAAACACAAGAAACAAAGCAGCAAAAAAAAAAACTCCCAAATGTGCAATTAAAAAATTTTACAGTCATAACTTTTTATTATGGAGCATAATTCAGACTTTTTATGCCGGGGAGGGAAAATGAAAAGGGGCGGCGTAGTGGCTCCACTGCGCGTGTTTAATTTCGTTTTTCGTCCTGTTTTTCCAATAAATTTTCTTCCCTTTTGCACGCAATTTCCTCACTTAAACTTTTTCCCACTTTCCCTGTTCCAGCTCGAATTTCTTTATTTTTTTTGGGATATATAATTGCTTTAAAGCCAACCGACCGACCTGCCAACACTTTTATGTGTCTGTTTCATCATTTTTGGGTGGCAACAAATTCCCGGCTTGTTTACGTTTCACATTTGGTAGTTCAGCTTCGGTTTCTAACTATAGATTTTTATCACGACACGAGGCGGTTTCGTTTCATATTTTTTATTGGACCTAAATGTCGACACGTGGATAGTTTGCCATATACGACCGGCTCACATTTTTAGATGCATTTTAATTGGAGTTTTGTTGGGGCCTTTTTATAGTGAGTGATTATCGTGCGGATTAAAAATACAGAAATGGGAACAAAGGGGTTCGTAATTGGTTCAAAGATCTTGAATTACCATCTGGTACAAGGTTTTATAGCTTTAATTATTTTTTTTATAATTTTAAATTGGTTTATTATGATTTCTTTTATATTGCTTTATAAAAAAATATTATTTATTTGTTATTCATACCTCATAGCTCCTGTTAACTATATTTATACCATAAACTATTAATCTTCCTCACCTCACCGATGCGAACGTTTCATAATACCCTCATTTCTCACATGTGAAACACATTAACCTCCGCCCATTAAGCTGTCCGACAGCCAATAATTGTCGCTTCAACTAAATAATGCATAAATAATGCAGCAGGGATAACAAACTGAAACTCAAACAGAAACAGGATCAGGGGAGCGGCGATGTGGGATGGATACTAACCCATTCGGGCCAAAGGGGTGGCTCTGTTAGTGGATTTGTCGGCCAACAAAGTGAGAAAACCGCAACGGAGCGGCATAAAAAATGCATAAAACGAGGACAGAATAAAGTCATAAAGTAAAAATTGCAGACATGCGGGGAAAAAGGGGGCTGGAAAGGAGCGTCCTGAGACCCAGGAAAATAAAGGAGTGTGTGGGGTGGAAAAGGGGAAAAGGAGGAAAAGTGAGTCAGTCAGTTGTTGTTCTTGTTGAGCTTGGGTCTTGTTTGAGGTTTCAATAGGTCATAATTCACGCCTAGTCGCCGCTTTTCCCCCTCCATTTCCCCCGTTGAGTTGCCCTGTCGTTAGGCGCCTTGAAAAAAGGCTCAGGAGGAAAATAAGTGGGCGGGGCAGGGGGCAAACGTGTGGGTGTTCTGCTGGCGCCACATACACGCTCTCGTAAAAAAGAACAAAAACATGTGTGTGCACAACCAATATGAGAAGGGGGAACAGCTAGAGTTACTGTCTATATGTGGAAGATCACATAAAAAGACGGCACTGTGGTTTTGGAGACTAGAAAATGTACATAGAATATTTAAATTTGAGGTTAAAAAG